CACACTTAGTCACCATCACACTTAGTCACCATCACACTTAGTCACCATCACAGTCGCCATCACTTAGTCACTATCACACAGTCACAAACACACTTAATCATCATCACACTTAGTCACCATCACACTTAGTCACCATCACATAGTCACCATCACATTAGTCACCATCACATTAGTCACCAACACCTTAGTCACCAACACACTTAGTCACCATCACAGTCGCCATCACACTTAGTCACTATCACACTTAGTCACCATCACATAGTCAATCACAGTCGCCATCACACTTAGTCACTATCTTAGTCACCATCACAGTCGCCATCACACTTAGTCACTATCACATAGTCACCATCACAGTCGCCATCACTTAGTCACTATCACACTTAGTCACCATCACCTAGTCAACTTAGTCACCATCACATAGTCACCATCACAGTCGCCATCACATAGTCACTATCACATAGTCACACACTTAGTCACCAACACACTTAATCATCATCACATAGTCACCATCACAGTCGCCATCACCTTAGTCACCATCATCACCTTGGTCACCATCACACTTAGTCACCAACACACTTAGTCCACATGTCACCAGTCAAACACCTTAGTCACCAACACATTAGTCACCATCACATAGTCACCAACACACTTAGTCACCATCACCTTAGTCCCATCACCTTAGTCACCATCACATAGTCACCAACGCATTAGTCACAACACATGTCACCAACACACGTAGTCACCAACACCTTAGTCACCATCACACTTAGTCACCATCACACTCACTCACCTTTACACTCAGTCACCATCACATAGTCACCATCACACTTAGTCCTTCTAGTCACCATCACCTTAGTCACCATCACACTTAGTCACCATCACATAGTCACCATCACACTTAGTCACCAACGCATTATCACCAACACCTTAGTCACCAACACACGTAGTCACCAACACCTTAGTCACCAACACACTTTAGTCACCATCACTTAGTCACCATCACACTTAGTCACCATCACCTTAGTCACCATCATGTAGTCACAACACATAGTCACCATCACACTTAGTCACCATCACTTAGTCACCATCACACTCCCTCACCTTCACATGAGTCACCATCACCTTAGTCACCATCACATAGTCCTTAACACATAGTCACCAACACATAGTCACCATCACACTCAGTCACCATCACACTTAGTCACCATCACACTCACTCACCTTCACATAGTCACCATCACATAGTCACCATCACACTTAGTCACCATCACACTTAATCACCACACTTAGTCACCATCACACTCAGTCACCATCACACTTAGTCACCATCATAATCAGTCACTATCACAGTCACCATCACAACCAGTCACCATCACAACCAGTCACCATCACAACCAGTCACCATCACCAATCAATCACCATCACCATCACAATCAATACACTCAACTCATCCTCTCTGACGTGTTGACCGGACCAGCAGCTGACAGCACCAATCATTAGTCGGTAAATCATGCGACGTGGTGATTGGTGGAGGGGCGGCCTAATCATCTCCTATTGGCCAATCAAGGGTAGTTAGCCGAGACGAAAAGCCTCATAATAGTTACGGTGTCTGGACTGGTGAGATAACCGTAGTGTGTGTGTGAGAGAGAGAGAGAGAGAGAGAGTACCCCTCCCTTACTATTGATAAGGAGTCACCTCACCATGAAATAGCCAATTAGGAGACAGTTGAACGAGTGGAGGAAAAAGTATATCCATTTAGAATGGCCTTACCTGCCATCTGTAATGACGGGATAGGTACTACTACTACTACCACTACTACTACTACTACTTCTACTATTTTGATCAATACAGCAACTATTACAAAACAATACTACAACAACAATTACTACTAAAATTATTACTACGACAACAACAGCGATGGTTACTACTACAACAACTACAACAACTACATCTACTGCAATAACAATTACAGCCCCCAAAATCACCACAGCACCGCATTACATCACGGTATGCCACACACACATATCAATCATGTTTCCATTTACAACAATATATGAAACAAGCCATTAGCAACCGTTCAGCCAATAGGAAAACCGCATTACCATTTATAAACAATTATCTATCATCAGTAATTTGGTACTACTACTACTACTAATATTGTTACTATTAATGCTATGCTGCTACTACTGCTACTACTACTACAGCTACTATTATTACTACTATTAATGTTACTACTATTATTGCTATGCTACTACTACTATAGCTACTACTAGTTTCTCAATACAGTAATGCGATAATTATTCCTTCTGGTATTTTATCCGGTGGAGGAATTTATCCACAAACTACTGCTACTTTACTGTCACTCGGAATCGAGTATGACGATCATCCAGCTATGATACAACGATATGAGTTATTAAGGATGTCACCTTCGTTGGTGAGTTCTGAGGTGACTCGAGAGGCCGATACGGGACCGGCAGTGTTGATCACAGATGTTGCACGTGTGGAGGGATACTTCTAGTGCGGGAGGGACGGGCTAACTCGAAAGTATTGACACCTTCTCGTGTGGTGCTCCTCCAAGCGTTACGGTGTGGAGTAATCGTCTCCCAGGTGAGGGGGTCGATTTGGCACTTTTACAAGTTTTAAGATATCCTTATACCTTTTCAGTTGCCCGCCAGCGTTACTTCACACACACACACACACACACAGCAGGTGCCGTTCAAGACCTTAAGGGTTCTCCTCTCCTCACCCTCCGTCACTCAGACCTTACCTCTCCTCCTTAACTTATCCAACAGGGAGAGAACTCGTAGCAATAGTTTTAAATTAGACAAATTTAGATTTAGGCGCGAGATAGGTAAACACTAGTTTGGAAATAGAGTAGTGGACGGAGTTGGAACAATTTACCAAACATCATCATTAACTCGAATACGCCGGATAGCTTCAAACATAGGTTGGATGGATATATGAGCGATGGAGTGGGTGTAAACGGGACTACTCAGTATCAGTAATAGGCCCGCTGCAGTTTCCTCCATTCTTATGTTCTTAGCTCCTCAACCTCCTCTCTCAACCTTTCTCACCCAATATCCTCCCCACCTTCCTCTGTACCTCCTGTCCTTTTCTGCTCCGCTCCATTATCCTTCCCGCCCTCCACCCCTCCCTCCTCTCCACCCTCCTGTGTGCCCCCTGCCCTTCTCCTCTCCTCCCCGCCATCCTTCCTGCCCTCAGTAAACGATGACTAGCCGACCCCCCCTCATGTCCCACCCTAGGGAGTTGCTCTTCTACTTAAGACGGACGACAAGACAACAAGTCCTGGATGTTTTCTAATACCACTACGAGGACTTGGTGTCTAGGGTATTTGGTTTCTAGAGACCAATATACAGAGTTATTTCTGGAATCATAGACGTGAGGATCTGACTTAGAAACCTTGGATATTTGTGTTGTTTTCTAGATAAATTGAGCTGATTTGTTTGTATATTTAGAAACCTTTGAATATATATTGTTTTTCTAGTCAAGGGAAAGAGGATATGCCTTTTTTTTTTAGAATTCTTTAGAAACCAGTAACACAAACACTCAATAATAGAACACCGAGGCCCACCAAACACTTTTAAAAAACACTTCTCTAATATTAAAACACACAAACAATACATTTAAAAACATAATTATATAAACAGAAACACACACACACACATACACACACACACACACACTCACACACACAGGAGGAGAGCGTCATACAAACACTCCTCCCTCCTGCTCCCTCCAGCCTACATCCTTCCTGCTACCTCCAGCCTGTACCTTCCTCCTCTCGCCTGCACTTTCTTCCTCCAGCCTGTACCTTCCTCTCTCAGCCTGTATTTTCCTCCATCAACCACCCTCCTTCAGCCTGTACCTTCTTCCTCCAACCTGCCTCCAACCCTCCCTCCTCCAGCCTGCCTTCAACCCTCCTCCTCCAGCCTGTACCTTCCTTCCTCCTCCCTCCCTCCAACCTACACCTTCCCTCCTTTCCTCTCTCCAACCTACACCATCCTCCCTCCCTCCTCCAGCCTACACCCTCCCTCCAGCCTGCCTGCGACAAAGCCAAGAATGACATATGGTAATTAGCAATGACACCAGCCCGCCGGACATTTGTAATCTGCCAAAGTCATCCAGGATCCACACAAGCCGAAGACCCCGAGTGTGTCTCTCTGATACTGTCACCCCTCTCACAGCCGGGGATCGTGAGGGCCCTCTCTCCTAACCTCCTCCCTCCTTCGCTGACGCTCCCTCCATCCCTCCCTTGCTGACTCTCCCCCAACCCCTCCCTTGCTGACTCTCCCTCCCTCCTCCCCACTTTCTGCTTCTCCTTCCTAACCCCCCTCCTTCCTCCTTTTCTCCCTCATTCTTTCCCTCCCTTGCTCTCTGCTTCTCCTGCCTCTCTCCCTCACTGAGCACTTTTCTCCTCTCTAAATGTCTCTCCCTCCATATATACTTCCCTGGCTCCCTCCGTCCCTGTCAAACTCCATTCTTCCCTCCCTTAGTGTCTGACTCCTTTCGATCCCTTCACTGTCTAACTCCCTCTCCCTCCCTCCCTCTCCTTCCCCTTCCCTCCCCCTCTTCCCCTCACTCTCCCTCGACCCCTGACTCCTGCCTTCATCTCTGGGATTTTAGCCCCACACTGTTTTTCCTCGATTTTCACCTCCTTTCTTTTCAATTCCTCTCTCTCTCCCTCTCTCTCTTTTCCCATGGAGGAGGGACCATAACAGAAAGCTGGCTGGTGATGTTATTACCCACAGTTTTACAGCAGTCAACCTCTCCAAAATGGGGACTTTCGTTGCAGACGTTGTATAAATTACCTCAGAGTACTACAGTAATACTACTAGAGACTCAGGGTGTGGTGGGTGGGTGGGTGGGTGGGTGGATGGGGTGGTAGTGGTGGTGGGTGGGTGGGTGGGTGGGTGGGTGGGTGGGTGGGTGGGGTGTAGTGGTGGTGGGTGGGGGTGGTGGGGTGGTGGGGGTGTCTCAATATGACCACGTGGCCTTCTATTGTGTCGCTTTCGGTACTTATAGTGTCGTTCGGGTTGATGTGGATGGTGTGATGTGGTAGTAGTGGTGTGGTAGTAGTGGTGGTGTGGTGTGGTAGTGGTGGTGTGTGGTGTGTGGTGGTGGTGTGGTGTGGTAGTGGTGGTGTGGTGTGGTGGTGGTGGTGTGGTGTGGTGGTGTGGTGGTGTGGTGTGGTGGTGTGGTGTGGTGGTGGTGGTGTGGTGTGGTGGTGGTGGTGTGGTGGTGGTGGTGGTGTGGTAGTGTATAGTGTTGGTGGGGTGTGATAGTAGTGATGTGGATGTGGTGTGGTGGTGTGGTAGTGGTGTGATGGTGTGGTAGTGGTATAGTGTGGTACTTTGTGGTACTGGTGGTGTAGTGTGGTAGGTTGTGGTAATGAGGTTTGGCTGTGGTTGTCTTGATGCAGTTTGGTGGTCATACACACCTGTCTTCATCAACCCAAGGAGCTATACACCTGTCTCCACCAACCCAAGGAGCTATACACCTGTCTTCACCAACCCAAGGAGCTATACACCTGTCTCCACCAAGGAGCTCTACACCTGTCTCCACCCAGCCAAGGAGCTCTACACCTGTCTCCACCAAACTATGGAGCTCTACACCTGTCTCCACCAAACTATGGATTCTAACACCATAAAACACGCAACTAGATCCCCTATCATCGACACATGTATAAACGCCATAAAGAATCCAACACCATGATGAGACAGTACACGAGGGGCCGACCTTATGATATATTTGGGTCGTGTTTATAAGAGGAGATTCTGACCCGATTTAAGGAGGGAGGGAAGGAGGGAGGGTAGAGAGGGAGGGAGGGAGGGAGAGAGGGAGGGTAGTGGGGAGGGAGAGTTTGAGGAAGGGAGGAATGGAGGAAGGGAGTGAGTGAGTGAGCGAGTGAGTGAGTGAGTGAAAAGGGAGGGAGGAAGGACGGCAAAAAGTCAGGGAGTAAGATGTGGAGAATTAGACGATGGGGGAAGGATGGAAGAAGGTGGAGTACTGGGGGCTAGGAGCGGGGGAGAAGAAGAAGGAAGAAAGAAGAAAGAGGAAGAAAGAAGAAAAGAAGAAAGAAGAAAGAAGAAAGAAGAAAGAAGAAGAAAGATGGAAGAAGAAATAAAAAATAAGAAGGAAGAAGGAAGAAGAGAGAAGGAAGAAGAAAGAAGGAAGAAGAGAGAAGGAAGAAGAAAGAAGAAGAAAGATAGAAGAAGAAGGAAGAAGGAAGAAGAAAGAAGGAAGAAGAAGGAAGAAGGAAGAAAGAGGAAGGAAGAAGGAAGAAGAAGGAAGAAGGAAGAAGAAAAAAGAAGAAGAGGAAGAAAGAAGGAAGAAGGAAGAAGAGGGAAGAAGAAGAAAGAAGAAAGAAGAAAAAAGAAAGAAGCAAGAAGAAAGAAGAAAGAAGAAAGAAGACGAAGGAAGAAAGAAGAAGACTCAAAATTTCCTCCCCAACCACCTCCCACCTAGGCCGGATGATCTACCACAGCACCTTTCAATCCACCACAGGGACCCTTCAATCCACCACAGGAACCCTTCAATCCACCACAGGAACCCTTCAATCCACCACAGGGACCCTTCAATCCACCACAGGAACCATTCAATCCACCACAGGGACCCTTCAATCCACCACAGGAACCCTTCAATCCACCACAGGGACCCTTCAATCCACCACAGGGACCCTTCAATCCACCGCAGAACTCTTCAATCCACCACAAGGGACCCTTCCAATCCACCACAGGGACCCCTTCCAATCCTACAGGGACCCTTCAATCCACCACAGGGAACCTTCAATCCACCACAGGGACCCTTCAATCCTACAGGGACCTTTCCATCCTACAGGGACCCTTCAATCCACCACCAGAACCCTTCAATCCTACAGGGACCCTTCAATCCACCACAGAGGGACCTTTCCATCCTACAGGGACCCTTCAATCCACGTCTTCCCCCAGGTGAATCCCATCAACGTCGGTGGGAGGGGTTGAGAGGGAGGAAAGGAAGGGAGGGAGGTGAGTGGGAGGAGTGGGAGGAATGGGAGCGCGCCCCCAAAGCATTATAAAGAACAGTGTTATTGGAATTCTCAAAATGTTGACATGAAGAGACGACAGCCTAATAAAGAAGTGAAGGAGATATGGCCGCTGAGTTGGCACCCCACAGGAGGAGGAAGAGGGGGGGGAGGGAGACAGTGTGGTGTGGGATGAGGATGGAATAGGGATGGATTTGTGGGGTAGGTGGAGGAGGAAGAATAGGAGGAGGAGGAGAAGGGAGAGGAGAGAAAGGGTGAAGGAGACAGATGAAGAGAAAGGTTAGGGATGGTTGTGTGTTCATTCGTAATATATTTTGTCATTTTCTCTCCCATTTTCTCTCACTCTCTCCCTCTTCCTCCAATTTCACCATCTTCCTTCCCTTCACTCCCTCTTCTCCTTACCTCTCCCTCTCTATCTCCTCCTCATCTCCCCCTCTTCCCTCATCTCTATCTTCCTCCCTAACTCCCCCCTCTCCTCCCCCATCTCATATCCTCCCCTCTCCCTCTCCCTCCCCCATCTCCCTCCCTCCCCATCTCCCCCCTCCCTTATTTCCTATTCCACACTGTGTCTGTCTGGCCGTCAATCGCAGATATAATAAAAGTCTTCGCCATAAGTAAGATCATAAACCCGGGTTGTGCTTGGCAGGTGCCCTCTCCACTAGGCTGGACGGCTACCATATATTCCTTGTACTTCACCCTCTATAGCTGACGGGGTGGTGTGGGTGGTGGTGGGGGGGGGGGTGGGGTGTGGGGTGGGGTGGGGGGGGGGTGGGGGGGTGGGGTGGTGGGGGTGGGTGGGGGGGTTGGGGGGGGGGGGGTGGGTGGTGGGGGGTGGGGGTGTGTGGTGGGGGTGTGGGGGTGGGGTGGGTGGGGTGGGGAGTGGGGTGGGGTGTGGGTGGTGGGGGTGTGGTGAGGTGGTGGGGGGTGGGGGTGGGGTGGTGGGGGTGGGGTGGGGTGGGGTGGGGTGGTGGGAGTGGGGTGGGGTGGGGTGGGGTGTGGGGGAGTGGGGGTGTGGTGGGGTGGTGGGGGGGGTAGGGGTGGGGTGAAGTGGTGGGGTACAGTTGGGGACAATGGTGGTGGATGGTGGATGGTGGGGATAGATAGACAGATAGATACACACATGACACTCTACACATCACACAACAACAACAACAACAAAAACAACAACAAAAAATTCCTTCGAGCACAATAAACCTCCATCAGTCAGGTCAGGTAAGACATACATTGAGCTGGAGACACACACAAACCCTGAAGGAGAGAGAAAAAACAAAACCAAAACAGTTACCTCCGACCGATTGAAAAGTTTACCCCGTTAGTGAAAATCAACCAAGTCCTCCTCATCTCTCGTGTTAACATATTTACCATGTTAACGAGGTCCTGTAGTGAGACAAATCTCTACTTGTCTCCTTCACCTTCCGAGAGAGCCTCCTAGAATCCTCCCACCCCCTCCTGCTCCCCCTCCCCGCCTCCCCCCCTCACTCGGTGTCGTACATAAGACGTGGTAATTAACTCCGGGTTGAGGATGGGGGAAAGGACGAAGACACTGGTCCTGTTTCACACACACGAGGAGTCACAAGTTGAGGTCATTCATTGTGTGTTTCTATTTGCTGCCTCAGTGACTGCGTCCCCGCTCGCCCTGCCTGCCCGTTGTACTGTCTCGAGTGTGTGTGTGTGTGTGTGTGTGAAGACTGTGTTTGTCTGTGGGCTGTGCTGAGTGTATCCGATTTAACACACACACACACACTAACACACACACACACGCCAAATGGCAATAAAGTGATCATCACCAGGTACTCCCCTCCCTCACTTTCCTCACCTGTCAACCTCGATCACCTCACCGTCACTTGTACACACCCTCACTTCACCTCCTTTCCTCACCTGTTACCTCCCTCCCTCACCTCATCTCCGCTGTCATCCTCACTTTACCTCACCTCACCTGTCACCCAGCCCCTCTCCCTCACGTCACCTTACCTGTCTCCCTCACCTCATCTCACCTGTCACCTCCCTCCCTCACCACACCTCACCTTACCTACCTCACCTCAACTGTCTCCCTCCTTCCCTCACTTCACTTCAGCTCCCTCCCTCACCTCACCCCATCTGTCACCCACCCCCTCCCCTCCCCGCACCTCACCACACCTGTCACTTACCCCCTCACCTCACCTCCTGTCAGTACCGTCAATCACTGTACATTAACTCCTGGTTCCTATTGATAATGAACGAGCATAGATCCCCCCCTCCCCCCAAACCCTCACCACCACACAGACACAACAACTCATACACGCTAAAAAAATCCCAAAATACCCTAACCAAACTGTAGGAGAAACGACCTTATGGAGGGATAGATCATAACACCTTCTTGAACCCGCGTGGGAATACTCGAAAGGTCAGGTGGGAATATTCTCTGCGGGTTATTAATTATTTTACCTTTTCGTGTGAATACCTGTGGCTGCTGGAGTTGTCGTAGGTGTAGTGTCGAGGCAGGTGTTTTATGGTCCTGTGGGGGAGGGGGAGGGGGAGAGGGAGGGGAAAGGGGGAAGGGGGGGAGGGGAGCGTATTGGTCTATATGTCATTAGAATTCGTGGTAGTGTTTGTGTGTGTGTTGATGGTAGGTTGGTGGTGATGGTGATTGTGGTGGTGTTGGTGGTGATTGTGTTGGTGGTGATTGTGGTAGTGGTGGTGACTGTGGTGGTGGTGGTGATGATGGTGGTGGTGATTGTGTAGTGGTAGTGGTGACTGTGGTGGTGGTGGTGACTGTGGTGGTGGTGATTGTGTTGGTGGTGATTGTAGTGGTGGTGGTGATGATGGTGGTGGTGATTGTGTTGGTGGTGATTGTGGTAGTGGTGGTGGTGATGATGGTGGTGTGATTGTGTTGTGATTGTGGTAGTGTGGTGGGACTGTGGTGGTGGTGATTGTGGTAGTGGTGGTGGTGATTGTATTGGTGGTGATTGTGGTAGTGTGGTGGTGATGGTGGTGGTGAGTGGTGTGTTGGTGTGACTGTAGGTGGTGATTGTGTTGGTGGTGATTGTGGTGGTGTGGTGGTGGTGACTGTGGTGGTGGTGATGATGGTGGTGGCATTGAGTGGTGGTGGTGGTTGTGAATGTGGTAGTGGTGGTGATTGTGGTGGTGGTGATTGTGATGGTGGTAATTATGGTGGTGGTGGTTGTGGTGATTGTGGTGGTGGTGATGGTAGTGATGATGATGGTGGTAGTATCTGTGATGGTGGTGGTGGTGACTATTGTAGGAGATTGTGGTGGTAGTGATTGTGGTGGTAGTGATTGTGGTGGTGGTAGTGATGATGATGGTGGTAGTGTCTGTAGTGGTGGTGGTGGTGGTGATTGTGGTGGTGGTGATTGTGGTGGTAGTGATTGTGGTGGTGGTGATTGTGGTGGTGATGATTGTGGTGGTAGTGATAATTGCTATTGTTCTGGCGGTATTAATAGTGGTTGCTAAATTACTAATAGCTGCTTCTATAGACAGTAGTGGCTATGGGTTAGTTGTCACACCATTCTTTAACCTATCCCAGTGATTGTTATGATTGTGGTAGAAACAATAACAATTATGATCGTGGTAATAATAATTGTTGTTGTTAATGATTAAATTTCCCCACCATCACTGACGCTACAACAAACAGATCTTTTTTTCCCGTTGTTTGTTTGACGTTTGTGTTATATAATATATTTTCTCAAATTAGATTAGGTGGGTGTAAATGACGGCCTTTGTGGGTGTTTGAGTGTTGGTGTGTCATGATCGCTCTGCTGGAAATGGTTTGGTTATAACACTTTTTGTTTTCATCCATTTCATAATTTTCATGATTATGTGAATTTTGATATTGTTAAATCTGCCAATTACCTGCGTTTTTTTTGCCTTATTTTACGAAATGACTGACATATATATATATATATATATATATATATATATATATATATATATATATATATATATATATATATATATATATATATATATATATATATACATATATATATATATATATATATATATATATATATATATATATATATATATATATATATATATATATATATATATATATATATATATATATAAATATACATAATATACATAGAAAAGCACACACACACACAACTATTACTATTTACTACTACTTTACTGTCACTCGGAATCGAGTATGACGATCATCCAGCTATGATACAATGATATGAGGTATTAAGGATGTCATCTAGGTTGGTGAGTTTTAAGGTGACTACAAAGGCTGATACGGAACCGGCAGTGTTGTTCACAAATGTTTCACGTGTGGAGGGCTCCATCTAGTGCGGGAGGGGCGACGGCAGCGTATTTCCAGTGTTGGCGCTTGTCTGCCTAGGTTTGCAGTCGGGCTAACTCGAAAGTATTGACACCTTCTCGTGTGGTGCTCCTCCAAGCTCTACGGTGTGGAGTGATCGCCTCCCAGGTGAGGGGGTCATATAGTAGCTATAATCAATTAACATTTTCTGAATAGGTGTTTTAATAAGTAATTTGTCTTAACATTATCTTCTCTAAATTGAGTTTGGTCTCTGGATTACCTTAAGTTTTGTTGGTTTTTGTTACGTGAATAAATAACCAGCAAGACGCTGCTGTTCTCGCAACATTACTCACTCTAGTCTCCTCCTCGCCTCTCTCAGACAACCAACTATGTAATACACTTTTCCTCCGTAGTGAATTATTAACCATTGTCGCCGCTCCTGACATTTTAATATACAGATTGTGAATTTTCTGAAGGTTATATGTGTCTCAACGGACGAGAGTGACCGAAACAACCTTTGAGAGACCTAAGCTTCCGCGTTACAATACTCAGAATACGTCACTCACATAAATGTCACTCACACACCGAGGAGATCGGGAGTGATGTAGCAGTCATCTTTGTATGTGTGTGTGTGTGTTGTCATGACTTGTTTTAAAACCAATGTAG